TCTCTCTCTCTCTCTCTCTCTCTCTCTCTCTCTCTCTCTCTCTCTCTCTCTCTCTCTCTCTCTCCCCTTTCCCTTCTCAATCTTTCTATCTTACCCCTTCCATCTCCGTCTCTCACACTGTATCTTTTTCTCGCCCACTCGCTCTTTTGTTTCTCACGAGAGAACTCTCATGCATCTATGCACAGTAGCGAGCGCGCGGGCACATTGTGTGTTTTAGAGGAACATTTGCACAGCGTCTAGGTATATTAGGCGATACAGCGTAGGCACGTACCTTAAAACTTTGGTTGTATATATATATGTCATTTGTATTTATTTACTATCACTTCATTATTGGAACCGGCCGAAGTAGCCGTGTATTTACAGTTATACAAAATAGCACACCATAATCTAACATGTAATCACCAAGTTTGCTGCGTACACGAATTTAATATAAATAATTAATTATGAAAATCTCGCATATAACTTAAGCCAATTGTGATGATGCAAATTAAGCAGGGTATGCAATACCAAACGTGATCACGATGGTGGTGACAACAAAGACGGTGATAATGATGATAATGACGAAGACGATGATATGTTTTGCATAGACAGCTAATTTTTGGAAGTTGAATTGATGAACACGTGTATTTTAATATTGCAGATTGTAATCGCTTTTCACACAAATAGGAAAGAAATACTGTACAGTAATACTAACACGTACCTATTATCACAGAGTGTATTGCATTGCTTAGATCAGTATTGTCACCCAATATCAGCAATATTATTATTATGTCTATGCCCCATTTGGTCCCACATGGTACAATCGCCCAACTGTTCTGGGCTGGATATTATGTTATCCCAGACCACAGGTTTCATCAATTCTCACCGATTTGACTGTAATAATAACAATATTCTGCTCAGCACTTTTTTCAGGTTGGTTTGTTGATGGCACAGATACAGAAAACGTGAAACTGATGACACATGATTGTCGAAAAATAAATGCTATTATTGATATAAACAGTAGTTAATAATATGTATATTGTTTACTGCAGATTTGATCAGACAGAAAACAGGCTTGAATTAATCAGAAATCTGAGATAAAATATTTAACTTTAGACAATTAAAAAAAATTGAATGAATATGTACATCTTCTATCTATATCACAAGCTCGTATCAACAGCTGTATGGACATTGTCCAGGGTCGTTTCCACGTTAATGAAGCTGTTTAGAGCAATCCCAGCAGCATCACCATCATCGTCATCATCGCCGTCGTCGTCATTATCATCATCATCATCATCATCATCATCATCATCATCATCATCATCATCATCATCATCATCAGCAGCAGTAATAACAGCATCACTACCATCAACATCATCATAACTGTTTATAAATCACATAGTTATACTGATATCACCACTACCTGGAGATTTACTTTCAAACTTGTTGGCCTTTGACTTCCCCACCCCTCAATGACCTTTTAACATGGAATCAATAATGTAACCCCACCTCTATGTTTATCGAAGCACCGTCGGTCAGCCATTGGTCAGAGCATCGGTCAGCACGTCCATTGCATAGTAGATCAGATGTCTGTTCAGCATCCTGTGCTGTAGAGACTCCACAGCCATCTCTATCACTTCATGGAATGTGCTTTTTCCCACTAATACGGGAAGAAGGTCTGAAATGCAAGGAAGAAATGAAATACATTCCGATCTTCAACATATATAAATAACAAGAGCCGCAGAGCGTCTGGGCTCATCTGAGGTCTGTTGCTACGATTATAAACGTAAAATTTCAGTCGTGCGTAGTACCACATTTGTTAGGCGCAGATATGCAGACACGCAGTTGCGTACACATCATTGTTAGGACACGCCCACTATCGCAGATGGAGGGTAGGGGGAGGGTGGGGGGA